ACATACATACATACATACATACATACATACATACATACATACACACACACACACACACACACACACACACAATTCTTTGCACTGTCTCTCAGTCAGATAAAACCTATACAATAAAATATTATAGTGCCAATTTGTGTAAAATTGAATCAGAATTATTTTAAATGTAATTTAATTCAATCATTTATATAAACAGAACTTCTGTTAGTTCCATGGTTTTATGCCATACTTTATAAATCTTGCATTATTGAATGAATACAAAAGTCATTGTGATCATTCAGTTGGTTTAAAACAGTTTAACAGACTTGTCATATAATCTTATCTTGTAAATATTTTAACCTTATGTAGCCTAGATTACAAAAAATAATTATTTTTATTAATATACTGAGTATTTCTCTCAATTTTTGTTTACTTTAAATTTAATAAATATTTCTACAGTATTTTCTAACTATATCATTTAATCATTCATTTTGCATTTATGTATGATTGTATGGTTCAAGCATTCAAACACTTGATTTCATTTTTAAGCCTGTAATAACGTTTGTTACTATGTAATCTCAGATATGCTACTTTTTTTTTATTGATATACATCATAGATTTGCTACTATACTGACATATTAATGATTCGTATTATTAGGCTTAAGCCAGCATACAGCATGTTGTAGCTTACTTAATTAGGTTGTGACATTTTAGTAGAGTATGCACGAACATAATACTTATAATTTGTAGATATCTGTGTCAAAAAAACATGAAGATTTAGTTGTTCTCAATGCAGTATTGACATAGAACTATTTTTTCTGATACAGAATTATTAATAAACCAAAACATAAATCATATTAAACATGATTTCAAGTGCCTACTCTATACTGGTAAGTATACTAATATTTTTGCAAATTAGTACAACTTCTTAAAGCACTTATTTTCCTTCATTCCCTGCAGAAAAAGCAGGGTAACATTTGTTGCTTCTTGTTAACTTCATTAATAATTAAACTTAGTCAAAAACATTACTTAAATGATGTGGCTGGCAGTTTGGTAAAATTCATGAAGATTTAAGGTTATAATTTCTGACCTTAAGTTGTGTTGTGATTATAAATATTGTGACTTCTAATATCTGTGCATATTTTGATGAAGAAAAATAACATGGAGTAAAGTACATGTTTATCTATGTTCTCTCAGATTTTATACCACCTTTACTTGATCTTTGTTGACCTTGGTGCATTTCTGTATTATAAAAGCTTGCATATTTTTTACACATCTTAAAAACTGTGGATTTTGATATGTCGTGTTCACCAAACATCCTCTTCATAGACTTTTCCAGACAGTGTTGAAAGGCTTCAATTACTTGAGCATCAGTGTCCTCATTTTAAGTTAGATCATCTATTGCTCCTCTTAATACATATAGATCCTGTGTCTTTGAACTGCTTATACCATCTCACATGACCTTTCTTTAACTTGATGCACCATTGCAAGGATCTACGTCATTCATCAGACAGATTTGTAAGCTCTCATTCTGTAATCACATCAGCTGTTTCCCTAATGTTCTTCTTGAGATTGGCATGTATGGCACTGCTTCATTGTAACACCATCAGTTATAGTGCTTTCATATGCTGCTTAACTCGTCACGTAGCTTCAGAGGCTAAAGTCATTACATTATGTCACAAAATAAAGGGAAAACTGCAGAAAGTCCCAAGTGCAAAACACAGAGATGTGAAGCTCAGATGTGAACGTGATGTTGGGAATTAAGGTAAGAAAGGAATTTGCAAATGTGGTAGCAGGAAAGTGTCATCGATATATCATTTGTAAAGGACAGGTTTAAAGTCACAAGGGCAGTTTTCTTGCCACTTGCTTTCATGGTAACTTAGAAAACTATTGGTTATCATTGTACCCAGCAGGGATTCCCTCTATCTAGTCATAAGTGACATCATTAAAGAGGAAATGATTTAACTTTGTGGAGAGGACAAGAAGTTCCAAGAATTGTTTAAAGGTGAAACCAATATACTGTTTTCACTATTTTGGAATTGCTTTTGTAGCTTCAATTCTCCTTTTTCCCAGTCAGATCTACTCGTCATGATCTCACAATTCCATGTTGCAACTACTACTGCTGCTGTGATTAATATAGCTGATCTTCCTGTCACTTTAATGGTGTCGGAGTAAGCTTTATTGGCTCAGGAAGTAATGGCTCTGGTTTGAAGGGAGTTGGCTACCTTTAGGCAGTAATTTGTGTCGCCTGATGATTGCTCTCTCATACCATGTGCTGTTATGCCTGAACATGAGGATGAGGATTTGGGTAGCCTGTTTCCTCCTTCTGTCCATGCCTCACAGTCATGTTTCATTTCGAGGGAAGTGCCTAGAACTCCTTCTTCTTTTGCTGACTACATCATTCAGGTATGTTATAATTTTTCTTTGTTTCTCATTTCCTATGATTCCTCATCTGCTCTTCTCAGTGATGGGTTGGTGTAACAGTGTCTATGTTTCCTTCCACACTTATTAATTGGAGGACCAGTTATGTTCGGGGTTCAGTATGCAATGTGACCCCATGTACTCTGGATGAGCATGCTTTGGCATATTTTCTCTCTGGGTTTCCCTGATTCAACTCACACCTCTGAAATGCTTCTTGGTAGTTCCTACCTCATTTCACCATGGAGTCATACTTGTCCCTTCTATAGGCTTTCATTCTTGGTCTACGGATGATAAAGGTCAGTGTTTCGGATGTGTACTTTCACATTCCCATTTCCCTTGCATCCAGACATTACCTTCATTTTATCCATCAGGGTTGTATTTTTCTGTTCCGGATCTTCCATTCACGCTCACCTAGATTCCTTACATTTTTCGTTGCATAGTTAGGGTGTTTGACTCTATTTTTCATTCTGAGGCCTTTGTTTTCACCATTACTTGGCTGACTGGCTACTTCTATCTTCCTTAAAGGCTGTTTCTGCCCTTCATACTCAGTTTCTACCATGAAAAGCCACTTGGGTTGGTTGGTTGGTGAAGATGGAGAAGTCTTTCCTGACTGTGCACAATATATTGTTCAATTCCTTACTCTGTCAGGCCCAATCTTCTCTCCCTTCATTTTTGGGCTTTAGGGCTTCTAGTTTTCATTCTACCCTTTTCTCATTCTCCAATGCATGAGAGGTTCTATCTCCTTTGGGGATGTGGGCTTCTCTGGAAGCATTTATACCTCTTGGTCATGCCTGTATGTGTCATCTTCAGTGGGTTTTGATGGACTAGTGGAGCCTCATTTAGGACCCTTTTATACCCCTCTTCTCCTTCCTTACAGACTGACTTCACCTGATGGTTGGATTAAGCCAAAACCACTATGGGTGTTTCTCTTCTTCCCTCTCGTCTGTAATGTCACCTCTTTCTGGATGCCACTCTTTCCAGTTGTGGTGCTTACCTGGATGCTTAATTCACTTCCTTCTAGCCATTTAGGGATGGTGCATTTCAACAACTTGATTGGGGTCTCATCCATCTCCAGGCAAGGGGACACTCAGTTGAGAAAACTTTGTTTTCAGACACTGGACCTCCTGTATTGAGCCCACAGCTATCTTATTCACTTGATGGCTTATCATATTTGTAGGGTCCTGAATCTTGTCATGAATTGCTTATCTTGTCCCAACAAAATTCTCTGTACAGAGTGGTCACTGGACCAACTGGTGTTTTGGTGGCTCTGTTCCCAGTGGTGTGTTCCATATCTGGATGCCTTTACCACTTATCTCAATTTCTAGCTCCCTTAATTTTGGTTTCCTGTTCTGCATCCAGTTCCTCTCCCTTACTGGTTCTATATTTTGCTTTCCGTGTCATGTTCTTTTCAGCCATGTTTCATTTTATGTGATATTCACCTGTCCTTTATCTTTTGTTTCCTTCACTCCACCTCATTTGTCCCTCTCACCCTTACTATCTTCCTGATTTGAACCTCAGTGTTGTCCTCCATGCATTTACCCTTCTTCTATTCAAGCCTTTGTTAACATGTTCTTTCTGTCACCTCTCCTTACAGACTCTTTTCATCCTCCTGTTGTTGGGCAGACATTGTCGATTGGACATGTTTGTTATTAATTTTCACTGCTCCTTATTTCACTGTTCTTATGTTGTCCTTTTCTCCAATCATTCATTCCTGCCCAAACCTCCAGCCACTCAGGAGGGTAATTCCACCTTCACACCCATCACCCTTCTTTCCATATCACAAATTTATGACCATTCTGACCCTGCTTGCCAATTATGCCCAGTCAAGGCTCTCTGCTGTTATGTGGCACACACTGCTTCCTTCTGTGGTTCCTGTTCCCATTTGTTTATTCCTTGGAATTCCTCCCAGTCCTGTGACCTTTCTCCATTCCCTTATGGGTTGGGATTGCCAGAATATTCACCTGGCATGTTCTTCTGTTTCACTGGATGTTTATTGTCTTTTCTGCATCTGCTCACATCAAATCCTTCATCTTACCATGTCCCAGGCTGCTCATTTCTGTCATTTGTTGGAGAACATCATTCGTGCCAGTATGTGGACTACTCACCATACCTTCACCAGTCATAAAGATCCACCTGGCCATTTCTTGTTTTATGGGTTTTTGTCTTTCTCCCAACACTATTTTGCGCTCCACAATTTCTCTATGAGTGGGTAAATGATCCTTTTTTCTACTTTTTCTTTTTAGGGGCACTTTTTCTCATCTTAAGATCCTGCTTTGTGGCAAGTGTTGCCTGATCAGGTATACTTATTCTTAAATCTGCACTGTAATACTGTGTGTCAAATACATCCACCATTGAGATGGTGTTTTCCACAAGACCACTTGTAGGTATTCCTCATGGTATTTTGCTTCATAAAGATGTTTGCCCCGGACTCTACACTCATGGACTAACATGAGCAAAGCAGACAGGAATTGCTGCCCATCCCTGATGACCTGTGTATTGTAGGTCACTGGATCAGTCTCCTTTTCAAAATAAGGTGTCGTGGTCACCCATTGCACTGTCTTAGATGTAGTTTTCCTTCAGACTCTCCAATGCACTGTCTCCTCCCTTTTTCTAGGGGAATATTAGAGTCCTTGCCACTTACCAATTCCTAGCCACTGGGTTGGTGGACCATGAAGGTTTCCTCCTGAGTGTACTAACTCCCACTCAGTTGAGAGTAGGGCAGTGGTGTTCTGCCAGTGTAGATGGCATTGATGCTCATTCTACCATGGACCTGATGGACAGTGTATTCTGCCAACATGCAGTTCACCCTTCCAGCTGAGGCACCCTCCTTCCTACTGTCCCCTGGATGTCAATTGCTGGTGGATATGATGATGGATGAAGCTGGACCAGCCACATAAATCCTCAAATGTGTGTCTGGGTGTGCTCCTCCTATCACAGACTGGATGTTGCCTGGTGTTGGACTGGAGATACACCAAACTTTACTGTCTACCTACCTACCATTTCCTGGATGTCTATTCCTGGTGGATATGATGATGGTTGGGTTGGATGTGCACACATGATGATGTGGATTCTTGGTATGAAGGCTCATGTTCCCTATCAGTTCCCATATCCAAGGAGAAAGGAAGAGGACCCTCTTCCTACTGCTGGCCAGATATCCCTATCACAGTTTGATTGATGTTGTGTTAAAAAAGTTGATTATATGCACCGGAAAGAAATTTGAGCTGTGACTTTTTTTTTTCACTTTTCACAAATCTTTTTGTTTTTCAAGTAACATAATTTTTTTCATTTGAAGTAGTAGCTAGATATCTGATATTTCTGTAAACCAGCATATAGCAGCTTTGTCATGTACAACACAAGTTTTGTAAGAAATTCTTTTCTGTTCTAATACATCAATATACTAAAGAAAGTATTGCATTAGAATCATATATCATTCCTTATCTTCTGGTTCAAGTTGATGTTGTAAGCTACAACTAGTAGCAAAGACACAAAAGATGCAGTTCACTCAAGAATAAGTTATCATGGAAAAGGTTATTTTAGCATAAAACTGGTGCTTTTGCTCAAATGGTTTTCTTATAGTAATAAAAATAAATGTAAGTACATTACAATTATGAATTACTTGTTGCAGTGTTATCAAAATGTGGCTATATTTTTATGTGATAATTTTTTTATACATAAATGTTTTTTGTTTTCAGCCTAATCATCAGTTGTTTCCTAAGCTTTCTCCTACTGTATCAACAGATATCGCACTTAGTTATCCTATAGCAGCTCAAAATGAACTTCACACATCAAGTAATGTGGACACGTTTTTACCTGACAACAACAATACTACCTCTTCCTCAATTGTGTCACAAAATGTACTTCTGACAACAAATGTGACACCTAAGAATGCCATAATTCATCCTGCTTGCAAACATAGAAATAGTTGTTTTACCTCGTATGCTTTTGATTCTGGGGTCATCACTAACTCTGCATCAAAAAATCTTTATCTGACAAAGCTCTTAGCTTCAGGTTAGTAACTTAAAAAGTAGTATTGAATTATTAATTGTTTAGTTATGTTCATTTATTAGCAGCACATTAACATGTACCTGATATATATTCTTATTGGAATACATTGTACTTTTAAATTGATAACTTTTATTTGTTATGTTGACAAATCATGTGCCAGAAAATACTAGAAGGCAATTTTCTTTATTTTAACCATTCAGCAACCTCCTTTGTTTTAAATTGATCTGTCAAATGCTGTTTTAAGAAATCTTTCAGAATGTTTTTAGCAAGAAAGTTATGAATATAATACACAGTGTTATGCATGCTGTAGAATTATACTTCATGGTGCTAAATAACACTTCACATACAACTTTAAGTATGTTGCAGTGAATTTATTTGTGTATCTTTTAATTCAAAATTACATAGTGTCTGGTTCTAATCAACACTTCATATATATAGTATATTCTTTCAGATTTATGATATGGGTAAGTAATAATGAAGTTAAAATATACCAGATTTTATATTTTATATATAAGCTTTTAGATGCATGCTGCAACCTTCTTCAGGCCAACTGAATGAAGGTTTTAAAAGTAATTAACAGTTTGGGTAAAGAATGAGATGTATGCAATATAAAAGTTTGTGATCTGTAACTGTGGATATAAAGTTAAGTTCTTATTCATAAATGTGTAAAATTACACAAAAAGGTTCATAAAATTGTGTGTCAAACCTGCTTATAAAAATCATTCCGCATAGGGTGAATGTCTCTGTTTTACCAGTCACTGTTATTACTCTAACTGGCCCACTTTTCAAAACTTCCTTATCATTACAGATTCCTTATATTGGAATGGTTTGTTTCAAATTGTAAGTCTTGAGTTCTGTTCCATAGCATAACAGTTCTTACAAGCAGGATTACTGATGATCATTTTGTAATATTCAAGTTAGCAATTATTATATGTAGTTTATTATTTATTAATTTTTGTGAAACATAAATAAGTTTGTCTTTTGAGAGGAATTGTGTGGCTCTTCTCATATGTTTAGTTTATTGATTTATATAATTGTTAAAAACATTTTACTTGATATTTTTGTAAAATCAGCTCCATCTAATAGCAATGTTGATGTTATGTACCCATACACAACACCTTGTAGCATTTAAAGAGTTTATTTAAAACTACACTGAGAATCATCTTATGGCTATTAGAGAGTTCCTCATAGTTAAATTCTAGTATTACAAGAAGCACATATAACTGATCTGATGCTTTTATTTGTTTTCTATTTATCATGCAATATTATTTTGTACTGATAGATTTCCAGTTGTATGTCCTTGTTTTTTTCCTCCCAAAACCACAGTAAAATTCAAAACTAGTTCACATTTGCAATCACATCTACTGACATGAACTGAAAGTTGAAGAACATAACTGTAACAGATCTGACATCAAACAGCTTTCTCTAAGAAATGTGGATAAATTTTACTTTTGATTGAAATTTTTTATAACTCAGTCATGATTCTGAATTTTTCTTATTTCTTATTGATGTGAATTAAATGTTTTAATATCATTTCAGCAAGAAATGTTTTGTACATAATATCATAAAAGACAAGTTATGATGGCATTCACCATTGTTAAGAAATTAAAACAGCTTTTATTTTTATGATATTACATTATAGTAGTGTATATAAAAATCTACTAATATCCATATTCCCTAATTGTTTGATTTTTTTTCAACTTTCTTACATATTGGCTTAGCCTTAGCTTTGTTTAAATAATTTTAAGTAAAAGTATTTATCTCTGGAGAGTGTAAAGTATCACTGTAATTATTACTTGTTTTGTTTTTTGCTTAGAAAAAAGAAAATGTGCTCTTTAAGAATATATATATATATATATATATTTTAATTACCTCCACCACC